CCTCACTTGCCCCCATCTCTCCTTCACCTCGCCAGGAACCCCAAGGATCTACCCCCAGGGGACCTGGCCACAGCTGGGCTCCCAAGCCCCCTCTCCTTACCCCCTGAGGTGCCCTCAGGTCTCCCAGTGGAACATTTTTGACATATTCTAAACCATCAGCAAAACAAGATGAAAATTCAGTAATTGCTTTTGGCGGGGAGTCCACGGGCCAGCACAGGGGCCAAAAATAACCGAGGGGAGGTTTCCCGGGCCACCTGCGGCCCTGGGGGTTCTGTGTGGTCTGTCTGAGCATGGGGCCGGAGTGGTCTGGCGTGACCCGGCTGCTGGCCGGCCGGGACAAAAGGGGGAGACCAGAGGGATGTGGGGGATGGCCAGGACAGAGCGAGACTCGCTTATACTCTGCAAGCCAGGAAGTGTCCCGCCATCCGAAAAAATGTGCTGTCATACTTAAGCAAGAGAAGCAGCTGTGATGCTACTTAGCAGCCCACAAATAGTTGGCTGAGTCCCGGGAGGGGGTGTGGCTGAGGCCGTGAAAGGCAGACATGCCAGGCTGGCCCGGTGGTGAGGCTTCTGCTGGCCAGGTGGTGCTCACCCCCAGCCTTGCCCTCCTCCCGAAGTCTCCCCCAGGCCTGGCCAGTCCCAACACAGGGGAGGAGGTGAACCCCATGGTGGTTAGAGCCTGGGGTCACCGCGCCTCTGGCCCTGGTGGAGGCCTGGGTCTCGCCCTGGCACAAAGGCCAGAGCGGGAAGGCGCTCAGCTCACCTGATCAGGTCAGAGCTGCATTCACACCCCAGGCAGCCACCTCTCCTCTGAGCCTTGGATCTTGGTCTGCCAAACACGAGGTGAAAGCAGGTAGTCAAGGTCACAGGTGCCCGTCCAGGGTGTTGGTCATCTAGCTCGGGGCTCCACCTGCACACACCCACAAAGACACCCCCCACCCCCGGCCGCTCACCTCTCCTTCTTAAACAGATGAGAAAATGGAGGATTGCAAACGGGGGAGGGGGGCGTGGTGTCTATGGCGGGGGGTTCCAAGCTCCCCTGGCAAGGACTCCACCCCAGGGTAAACTGGCTGCCATGCCAGGACCCCAGGAGCAGAGCAGGCAGGGGCTGCAGCCACGCCCCGAGGAGGGGCTGATGGCCAGAGAGGGGGTGGGTCAGCCTCACCCTGGCCTTCTCCTGTCCCCTCTCCGTGCCCCAAGCAGGATGTACCTGATACGTGCAGGTTGGCTGACGCTCCTCGAACGTCCCCAGGAGTGTCCACTGGGGAATGTCCAGCCAGGTCTTTGATGTGAAGGAGAAAAGAGGGGTCCCATTGGGGTCTGGCCCTCAGGATCCACGTCATGAAAAGGGATGCCATCCCCTCTGGGCACCTGCCCCTCTGCCCACGTGTCCACCTGCCCGCTGGGTGTGCACCCCCGTCCCATATCCTGGGCCGAGGAAGGAGGCTTCCAGCTCACCGCCTTTCCGTCTCCACACAGCCCAGCACTGGGTATGTCGTCCTTACGTTACAGAGGACACAAAGTGGCAGAAGGACTGTAAGTGGCACAGGCCCCATGGTTCCAGGTTACGCTTGGGCTCAGATGAGCGCCCTGCTCCCTGAGACCCAGAGCCACTCGGCTCCTAACAGGGAGCCAGGCCAGGCTGTCCTTCTCCCACTTCGTCCTCCTCTGAGCCAAGTTTGGCCTCTCGCAAGAGGCAGCCACTCATGGACAGGGCCCCGACCGCTGAGAGGTGCCTGCACACCCCTGAGGACGAGTCCCCATTAAGACAGTGAAGAGTGAGAAGGGTGCCCACCCCCGTGCCAGCTCCTTACAGTCTCCGGGCCCCTTCATCCCCAGTGAAGAAGGGGTGAAGCCCTGTGTGGGTTAGGCGTGCATCAGGGCGCGACACGCAGAAGACCGGCTCACACCACAAGGCGCCCAGGCTCCACGAGTCACCAAAAGGCAGCTCTTGCTTCATCCCTGCCTTCCATCCTTCGCCTGGGCTCTCACCTCCTGGTTGCCAGAGGGCTACTGCACCCCCAGGCAACACAGCTGCATGCCAAGCACTACCTCTCTAATCAGGGTGCACGTCCCCCCCTGGACACTTGCCTACCCCTCCTGCTAGAACTGACTCACGTGGCCCCACCTGGCTGCAAGGGCGGCTCAGGGTCTGTGTTTGCAGTGAGGCACATTGTCACTCCAAACGAAACCGGGGCCCTTTGAGGAAGGAAGCCGAAAGGAATGGAGATAGCAGGGTCACCCCACCACCTCAGGGGACTGATCAGAAAAGGAGACTCAGGCCACGTAACTCCCCCCAAGTTGTCCCCCACACCTGCTCTCTAACCCCAGTAAAGGTCTCTTGTCCAAAGGAGAGAGTTGCCTTGCCCCCCTGCGGGCCCCTTCGACCTTGCCTTGCAAACACCCACTAGCCCACCATCAGCCCTCCGGTAGGAAGGATGCCAGTCCCACTCTACCCCCAGTCTCCTGTAGGGAGGCCACATGGATTAAGCGCATGAGCACACACATGTGCTCATGTACACACATGCACACACACTTACAGTTACATATGTATACACATGCATGCATGCACACACATGGTCACAGTATATATATATATATATTAGCATGGGCACACACGTGTGTGCATGTGCGTGCACATACATATAAACACATGTACATAGATAGCATGTGTACATGATGTTATACAGATTAGGTACACATGATCATGTGGCTCACTGTGTGTGTACACACACACGCACACACACGCACACACACACACACGCACACACACACACGCACACGCACATGCAAGCTCTGCTCCCAGCACCTCCTTGCCAGCCCCACGCCAGGGCTGTCAGGCTCGCCCACCCCCATCCCCAGGCCCATCCTGTCATCCTTTGCAACGTCCAGCCCACAAGAAGCACACATTTTCCTAACCTCAGGCATCTGGCTGCCCCAGCACCCCCTGGAAGAAGCAGGAGAGGCAGGAGACGAGGCAGGAAGAACCCCAAGGTGGAACCGCAATGTTTATAAAACGGGTCACTGAATTACTCAGAACAATATTTTCCTTGCGGTGCAACTGCTTCCTGGACGAGCTACGCGCAGATGCCCGTGCTGGCCCCAGGCTCCGCAGCCAGGGCGGGGGAGCCGATGGGGGCCCGGGGGGCCAGGCCCCTCGCAAAGACTCGGCCGCTGGAACTCGGTGTCGTTGGAAGCCACATGGCATTTCCATGAGGACTGGTCAGAAATGCAAACAAGCAGAGCCACACCATCCGTCCTCCCCCAAGGGCTCACTCACTGGCCTGGGCCAGCGGGCAGGGCTGAAGCCTCAGGCAAACTCCCTAGAGGATGCTGGCCCCTCTGGGCATCCCTGCACCCCCAGGCTGCAAGCGCCTCTGAGGGGAGCAGGGGGGCGTGGGTGGGGGGGTGAATGCCTGGAATCTGTGGACATGGGTTCCCCCTTAGAGTAAGGAGCCAAGGGTTTAGGTCTGGCTCCGGCAGCTGAGAGGGTGTGAGGAGGGCAGTGGGTCTTGGGACCCCCAGAAGCCCCCAGCCCAGCCCACCTGCGGAAACCTAACAGCCTGTGCTTTGGGTTACAAAGGACACCCCAGACCTCAAAAGTTGGGTCTCAGGGTGCACATCTGACAAGATGCATGGGGGGAGGGACAAAATAGAAAGGTGGGGAGAGCTGGGGGAGGGGCAATAGAGGTCAGGGGTACTGGTGTCCTGCCCACAGCCCCTCCCCCTCCAACAGGGAGGGGTGTGACAAGGAGCAGAGAGGAGAGCTCCCTGGGCTGAAGGCCAGAGGTGGGGGGGCCGCACTGGGCTGCCTGCCTCCACCCTGGGCCCTGAGCTTGGGGCTGGACCTGCGGGACAGGGAAGGTGCTCAAGGGGGCGGGGGAGGAAGGACCCCCCCCCAAGGCGACTCTTAGAGGAGTCAGGCCTCCCTCTTCCTATAGCAGGCAGGACAGTCACCTAAGGAGGAACGCTGTGGTCCATCCCCAGTCCCCATCGTGCTGGTGACAGGTCAGAAAAACCACTGTCCAGCCACCAGGCCTTGCTGTCTCAGTGCCCCCACCTGAAATGCCCACCCCCACTTCTTCAAGCGGTTCCCCAAACCCCCAGGATCCACCTCAACGCCTCCCTGCCCCAGAAAGTATCTGAGGCTCCTACAGCCCCCCCCAAACTCCCCACCTGCCTTTCCCAGGGCAGACGGGTCCATTCCAGACAGGGACAGACAGAGCCCGTAGCTCCCCAGTCACCCCAGCCTGGACGCAGGTGTGCGCTGTGACTGCCAAAGGAGCAGGGAGGAGGAGTCCCTGAGCTTCCTGGGGGGCCCATTCGCCCCCTTTCTCTGCAGATCCTGGCACACAGGAGGTGCCTTGTAAGCATTCGTTCAATGAGAAACAGCAGGGTCTGGAGGCCCCAGTCCCGACTTGAAGGTCTCCATGCCCCTCCCACACCCAGGAATGCGTCTTCCTTTGTCAAGGAGATTATAGATACAGAAACGGAGGGAAAGAAGGTAAACAGAAAATGGTTAAAGTTCTCCCTGGGTAATGGATTTGTGCTCATCCACAATCTCAACATTTTCTACTTGAAAAAATAAAGCACCTTCCCCTCCACTGCCTGACTCCAAGGGGAATCGCACAGCACATGGTGCGATTCTGACTTCGACCACCAGGTGGAGGCCAAGACCAGGGCATCCCCACGCAGACCTGCCTCCAAGGGTTTTCTGGGTCCCAGGAGGAAGGAGAGAGGAAGGCACACACAGGCAGCGTCTGCTGCAGAGGTGACTACAGTGCCTCCCCACTCGTCGGCCCTCCCAACAAGGCCCAGAAGTAGGTATTGCCATCCTCATTTGATGACTGGGGAAGCCACGGCCTAGGATGGAGGAGGGTGCACACTGTCACACAGCTCAGCATCGGGAACTCCCATTTTCCGACACACTTTGACTCACAAAAGCCCAGTAGTTACCTGGTTTTATTTGCAACACCCAGGCTGAGGGGACTTGAGCCTGACCTGCCTGAGCACTTCCATGTGTCCCAGCCTCTGAGCCCACTATCTGAGGCCCTGCCGGGCGCCGGGCTTCCTCTGTGGCCACAGAGGTCAGAGCTCGTCTGGGTTGCTGCCCTCCAGTGGGGGGCTTTGGGGACCTCCTGCTGGGGCTGCTTGAGCAGCTGGCCTCGGGGTTTGGCCCAGGGTGTGGCTGGGAGGACAGCCCCTACCTTCCACCCTCCAACCCACACCCTCCGTGTCCCTGGCTCTGTTCCCACTGTGCCACTACTGACTGTGCCAGGCCCAGTCCAGGGACTCCTCCACCCCTTTTATGGGAATCCACATTAGCATGAGCCTTGGAGGGATCTGTCCCACACCAGCCATGCCGAGAGCAGGAGGAACAGCAAGACCAGAGCTGCAGCCAGGGTCACAGAGGGCACCAGGTCCGAGTCCTCAGGGCCAGGGATGGCATCACCCGGCGCTTGGTGGGGAGCAGCGGGGGTGCCGGACAGCTGGGTGTCGGAGACCTTCTCCCGGAGAGGCCCTGGTCGGCCCATCTGTGAGAAGGAGGAGACGAGGCGGAGGACTTCCTCTGGCAAGGGCCCAACCACTCGCCCTCTCTGTGTGTCCCTCCTACCCCTCTCCCTCGGAGGGAAGCCCTCCAGACAGCAAGGGGCCACGAAGTGACCGTGGGCAGTGACTCTCTGAGCCTCTGTTTTCTCCTTTAAAATGGGATGATGAAGGCCACAGGGGGGAAGACAAGAACTAGCTGAGGTTTCTGCTCCACTGGCATTCCCTCTCACCTCTCTATCTCCTCCCTTGGAGACCTTTACCCCTGTGCCAAGGGGTCCGGAATGCAGCTCCGCCAGTTTCTGTAGCGCCTGGAAGCTGGCAGACTTGTCTGGAGGGACCTGTGTGAGACTGTAGGAGGAGCTGTGTGGAGGCTGCCAGCTGCTCTCTGCTCACGCGCGGCAGCCCAGGAGGTGGGCACCAGGTTATATCCATCTTAAGATGAGAAAAGGGGGGCTCAGAAAAGGAAGTGGCTCAGAGGAGTGCATTCCCAAGAAGCCCCGGAGGTTGGCAGACGTGGTCATGGCAGCCTGAGTGCCCATCCTCAGGCTCCTCCTCCTACAGGGCAGCGTCTGAGCCAGGTCAGAGTCCTGGAGTCAGGGTGGTCCCTGCCAGCCCCGCCCCAACAGTTCTGCAGGTTGCTTACCTTCCAGCCATGGGGACTCCTGCATTGGGGAGGGGCCTGCCCCAGAGCTGCCGCGTTCCCCAGGGACAAGCGAGCCTGAGAGGATCAACTAAGGGCCCTTCCTGGATAGAACTGCACCTCCACCTCCGCCAGGGAGGGGCAGGAGCTGGAGGGGGTGGGGAAGTGAGGCACCGAGCCCCTTTGTGGGTGTGTCAGGGTAGAGAAGGGAACCAGCTCTCCCAGGCTCAGCAGAGCCCAGGTGTCCCCACTCCCAGCCCAGCACTTTTCTGCTCCCTCCTAGCGAGAATTTCTGCATAGGAGAGGCTAAAGAAGTGGGGAAGGCTCTGAGTTCAAGTCGACAAGGGCTTCCTGGCATCCCCTGTGTGCCGTGGGGTCCCAGGCACAGGGTGGGTGGGGAGCGGACAGGAGCATTCCCTGCCCCCTGCCCCCACCAGAGGCCAGGTCCAGAGCGGCCCTTCTGGGACAGACCCAGGTGAGAGCAGTCAGTAGAGGAGGCACCCGCCCGCCCGTAGGAGCGTTAAAAGAGACATGAGGACCACAGAAACAATCCAAGCTGAGGAAATTATCCTTTAAGGACTAAGGTGTCCGTTGCATTGCTAATTTTCAGAGCAAAGGTTTGAAGCAGCCTTAATGCTCATGACAGAAGGCTCAGGAGCAAATCCAGGTTCTCCACTCAAGAACTTTCCAGAACCATTAAGACAGCGCTGTGGACACAGAGAGTCATACCAGCTTTACTCTTTCAGCCAAAACTGGAAATAACCTAATTGCCCATCAAAAGGTGGGTGGACTGTGGTGCACACACATGGCAACAAAAAGGGAACAATCCACTGAAAAATACACGGATGACTCCTGTGGACGTGCTGAGTGGGAGAAGCCAGACGAAAGGGCACTTCGTATGTGGTCCTCTTCCCATGAAACTGTAAGAAAGATAAGCTTAATCTACAGTCGTGGAAAGATGAGCAGTAGTTTCCTGGGAATGGGGGAGGGGTTGCCTGGAAGGGTCACAAAAGAACCTTCTAGGTGGATGGGATGTTCTATGCCTTGATGGGGGAGGGGTCTGGGTTTTACAGCTGTCAACACGTATCAACACACTGAAAATGTGCTCGTTACTGTATGTACATTACATCTTAATAAACTCATTTTAAAAAGAAAACAGGGCCGGCCGAGTGGCTCAGTTGGCTAAGAGTGCGAGCTCCGAGCAACAGGGTTGCTGGTTCGATTCCCACATGGGCCAGTGAGCTGCGCCCAAGCTGAGCTGCCATTGAACTGCCAACAGGTGGCAGGATGGCTCAGCTGGTGAGAGCACGTGCTCCTAACAACAAGGTTGCCGGTTTGACCCCCAAATGGGATGGTGGCTATGCCCACCTGCAACTAAGATTGAACACAGCACCTTGAGCTGAGCAGCCATGAGCTGCCGACTGGACTTGGAGCTGAGCTAGCTGAGCCCTCTACAACTAAGATTGAAGGACAGCAACTTGGACAACAACTTGGCTGTATCCCTCACCAATTCCCTGATAAAAAAATCTTTTCAAAATAAATAAATAAACAAATGCATTGAAAAAAGACAGAGAGAGAGGGCGAGGGAGAAACAAGAGTAGGATTCTATTCATCTGAGGTTCAAGGGCAGGAAAAGCTAATCCACAATGACAGAAATCGGTGGTGGGACTCCAGATGGTGAGTATGACTGGGGAGGGGTAGTCGGACTTTCTAGGGTGATAGGAAGCTTCCGTTTCCTGACCAGGGCAATGATTGCAGGGTTTATTCACTGACCTGCACATTTAAGATGTGCCATAGGTCGATGTTTAAAATGTGATTATGAGGACTGTGCAATATTATCAACAAGAGTCAACATTTATTGGGCATGCCTGGATCCACAGCCTACCTCCTCCATGGCAAGAAAATGCTTAAAATCCAATGTAAAGTGGTCACACAACTGTAGACACACAAGGCAAAAAATGTGACACAGACCAGCGAGGGAAAGACACTAAAATGCCAGCAGGGTGAGGCCATCAGGAGATAGATGTCTTCTCTATTGTCTTACTATAGCATTCCGATGATGATAAAAGGGAATTATAATAACTTTTTAAAAACACTTTACTATTTTAATACGAAAAATTGGAAATCACCCACATGTTTAACAACAAAGGATCAATTTAAAAACGTATGTGGCACACCCAGTCAGCAGAAGAGGGTGTGATCCAGCCCCCTCTCTGAAAAAAAAGTCCAAAGGGAGAGCTGAAACTAGTAATTGTGTCATCTTTTGAGGATGGTTTTCCAGGGAATTTTCAGTTCCTGCTTTTCTTATTTATAAATTTCATCTTATTACCTGGACGCTTCACCACAAGGTCAAGTTATTTCTGCCACCAGGGAACACCAGGAAGGGGGGAGACACAAGTCTGGCCCAATGGACCCGCCACCCCCCCCCATCCTTCTGCCCTCACCCCCCACACTCTCCTACTGTCCTGGAAGCTCATCAGCCTGATTTCACCGCGTCGCGGGAGGGGAGGGCCCGGGCGGCGGTGACTCAGGACGCTGTGTGCCAGGGAGGGAGTCGAGCGCAAGGTGGAGCTCCCGGCCTTCCTTCAGAGGGAGAAGCGCGCTCGCTGTGTGACCTTGGCGAGGCGCTTCGCTTCCCTGGGCTTCAGTTTCTTGCTGACTGCAGGAGCTGGGCCCCAGGGATGGACGCAGTCTGCGCCCCCGTACCGGTGTCAGGCTCGGACACCGACGTGGACAAGGACGAGTCGGCAGGTGCTCCGCCTCCAGGCCTCACGCTATTAAGACACTTCCCTCGGATGTGGGTTCCCATCCTCAGGGACGACCCTGGGGCATCCAGGGGAGCACAAGGCGCGGGGCCGCGCCCCGGGAGTGTCCGGCTGCCCCTCCCGGGAGCTGCGCCCCGCACCGAGCCCCGGAGCGGGCGCCCGGGGAAAGCCCAGCGGTGCTCCGCATCCGAGCTCCGCACCGCCCGCGGCCTCCCCATTGGCCGGCGCAGGGTCTGCAGGGCCGCCCTGCAGCCAATCGCGGCTGGGGGGGCGGAGCTGCGGGTTCCGCCGGATGCTCTAAGGCGCTGTGGTCCCACGCACTCCGGACCCCAGCTGTCCCGGCCCCTGTGCGGCGCCCCAGACAGCAGAGGCCGGCCATGCAGGAGCCACTGCTGGGAGCCGAGGGCCCGGACTATGACACCTTCCCGGAGGAGAGGGTGTCCCCGTCGTCGGGGGAGAGGACGCGGGTCAGGTGAGAGTCCCTGCGCATGGGGGCTGTGGGTGGGGGCTTGGGCCTCCTCTGGCCATTGGTGAGCAGCCACCAATGGGCCATCTGGCCCCCTCCTGCGCCAGACACGTTAGTCCTTCAGGACTGGGCCCAGCCCTCAACTGGCACAGATAGCGAAGCTGAGGCCCACAGAGGGCGAAGGGCTTGCCTAATGTCACAGAGCAAGCCTGAGGTGGCAAAGCTGGGAGCAGGAACCAAGCCTCCTGTTCTGGAGAAAAGCTCCCTGCACCCGTGTCTCACCCGTGGGCTGTGGGCTCTGTCCTCATGCCCTGGGGTTTTCCCAGAGGAGCTGGCACTCAGGCCCTGGGGAGGTACCCTCCACCCAGCCCTCCCCAGCGCTGCCCTCTGAGTGAACAGCTATTGTACTGGGGGCAGGCTGCAGATGCGTCAGGAGAGATTCAAAGACCTCCAATCTCTCTG